TATAATAATATTATTTATTATTAAACAGATATATTTAAAAAAATTTTCTGCTGTCTTACCAATTGGAGATACACAAAATTTTTTATTGCTTTTGCTAGCTTCGACATAGCCAAATCCAGGAAAGCTATGGACATGTTGCAAATTCCATTGAGTATTATCGTTCCCATTGTCCATTTCCCAGATGCAGGCATCATGATCATATCTTAGGCACACTGTTTGCCCATATTTTCTTTTGTATGTAAACAACACATGATTGTTGCTTCCCAATCTAGCTAGATGTGTGGTTGCCTGCGTAAGAAAATTAATCCTTTGTAAAAATTTATCTTTTCCCTCCAAATCGCACTCTTCTAATTGTTCAGCATTAAACCCCACACAAGGTTGATCCCCTCCAACACTGTTATTTTGTTGGTCTGTACATAAATGTGCTAGCCTGTGTAAACAATGATACATTATATAATGTTGAAAATATAATGGAATAAAATAATTTTAAAATAATTAGATATTATATGAAATGTTAAATAAAATGTTAATTAAAATGTAGTTAAATTAAAACTTCTGAGTTTAAAGCTATATGTATATATATGTGTAACAATTATATAATAAAAAGTACCTAGCATGAATTTCTGCAGCAAGAGCCTCATTGGGTAGACATTCACCTCCAGTGTCGCCTTTAATTAATTCATTCCACATTAATCCATTTTCATATTTGCTTAAATCAATTTGCAATGTATCTTCTTTGTGCCTCCAAGTTGCCATATTCTCCTCCAATCTATGTGGGCATTCTCCTTGTATTAATATCTCATTATCTATTGTAACAGATAATTCTAATGACTTGATGGTTATTTTAGGTCGTTTATTACTATGCTGTTTTGGTACTTTAATCCAAACAGTAAGTGATTCTTCGTCTTGTGACCAATAGTACTTTGGAATCTTTATTTGCAAACTAACGCTTGGTTTTTCTATTTCAGTTTCAGTTTGTTGCAAATTTTTATTCTCGAAACTAATGTTATCCTGACAAATAGAATGCAAATAATTTCCATTTTCTTCTACATAAACATAGTCTACTGTGCCTTGTACTTTCAGTAACTGTTTATCTATGTTATACACTTTCGTTATTTCATTTTCCACGTACAAACTATACGATAATAATATGAGCTGTGTATATTTCTTTTGATTATTATCTGTAGCAATAGCACATATAGTTAAAATAATTTTGGAACTTTTTTCTATATATTGAACATTCATGATGATTCCTGGTTTTTCAGGAGCTACTGGAAAAACTTTCCTATTTTCTTCTGTATATCCTATCAATATATGTAGATTTCCACCACCATCAGAAATTACCACAATATTATTCGAAGTAAATCCAATTGATGGATTATATGTTATTTCTGATGACCTTGTATCTGTATGTAATTTATATACTTGATCCAAGGAACCATCCTCATCCAGACGCCAAACAGCTAAAGTTTCATCAATGAACCAGCATGACATGTCGTATACATTGTTAAATAAATGATTATGAAAAGCGAAGAGTCTTGCTTCCAGCCAAGATTCTTGATTATGATTTGGCTCTAATCTGTATATATCTGAAACATACTTTTGTCAGAAGATCTTACACTCTTTGATTGTTTGCTAATATATAATTGTATGCATAATATT